CTAAATGACACAATAGAACAGTTGGACCTAGTTGATCTTTTTAGGACACAACATCCCCCAAAAAACAGAATATACATTCTTTTCAAGAACGCATGGAAAGTCCTCTAGGGTAGACCACATACTCAGACCCAAAAAAGCCTCAACAAATTTAAGAAGATAGAAATTTATTTCAAGCATCTTTTCTGACCACAATGGCATGAAACTAGAAATCAACCACAGAAAGACAAATGAGAAAAAAATGACTGCATGGAGACTAAACAACATGATACTACTGAAAAAAAAAAAAACCAATGAGTTGATGATGAAATCAAAGAGGAAATTTAAAAATACCTAGAGACAAATGACAATGAAAACACAACCATACAAAATCTATGGGATGCAGCAAAAGCAGCCCTAACAGGGAAGTTCATAGCGATATAGGCCTTCCTCAGAGAAGAAGAAAAACTCCAATAAATTAACCTACCATCTAAAAGAATTAAAAAAAGAAGAACAAACAAAATCTAATGTCAGAAGAAGGAAAGAAATAGTAAAGATCAGAGAGGAAATAAATAAAACAGAGATTTAAAAAAATAGAAAAAATCAATCACACTAAGACCTGGTTTTTTGAAAAAGTAAACAAAATTGACAAACCTTTGGCCAGGCTCACCAAGAAGAAAAGAGAGAGGACACAAATAAACAAAATAAGAAATGAAAATTGAGAAATTACAAGCAACACCACAAAAAATACAAAAAACCATAAGAGACTGCTATGAACAACTATGTGGCAACAAATTGGACAACCTAGAAGAAATGGACCAGTTCCACCAAAACTGAACCAAGAAGAATTAGATCATTTGAAAAGATCAGTGACTAGAAGTGAAATAGAATTAGCAATAAAAAACTTCCCTGCAAACAAAAGTCCAGGACCAGATGGCTTCACTGGGGAATTCTACCAAACATGCAAAGAACGCATACCAATCCTTCTCAAACTCTTCCAAAAGACTGAAGAGGAGGAAACACTCCCAAACTCATTCTATGAAGCCATCATCACCCTGATACCAAAACCCAGCAAAAGACACTACCAAAAAAGAAAAATCAGAGGCCAATATTGTTGTTGAACATAGATGCAAAAATCCTCAAAAAAATGTTAGTAAACAGAATCCAACAACACATAAAAAGGATCATACACTAAGATCAACTTGGATTCATCCTAGGGACACAAGGATGGTTCAACCTATGCAAATCAATCACATAATACACCACCTCAACAAAAGAAAGGACAAAAATCACATGATCATCTCAATAGATGCAGAAAAAAATTTGATAAAATTCAACACCCATTTATGATAAAAATTCTTACCAAAGTGGGTATAGAGGGAACATATCTCAACATAATAAAAGCTAATTATGACAAACCTACAGCCAACATAATACCCAATGGTGAAAAGTTG